GTCTGCGCGCGACCGCCTTTCGAGAGGCTCGGTCTTCGTCGTTTTATAATGGTTTTATTCGCGAGATCGTGGGGGTTCGAGATGGTCCTTTTCTTCCCGTTTTAAACCGTAAAATCCACGAGTCAACCGGCTACGGTCTAAAAAGAACCAAGTTATAGCTGGATAGGCAAGACTTCCTTTACCTTTTAACCGCTTAAACGCTTGTAATCCGAGAGGGCTGTCGAAATTTTTCATACTTGTGGATCATTGTCAGTATTCTGTAAAAATACAATTTTAATTTTTCGTCCATCAAGTAGGACTTTGGCGCGATGAGGATATAAGAAAGTCCTACCAGGTTGACCGTAGTTTTCTTCCATCTCGATATAAATGAATTTAATTAATAAAATCCATACTTGAAAACACTAGTAATCAACTGTTGAATGAAATACTTTACTCGTAAAATTATAAATAACGCTACTTTAATTAGGAGTGTTGTCAAATAGCACCGTTGAATCATCGAATATTTCTACATTTCACACTATGATTTTAACGTGTTAAATTTAAAAGCATTAGACTGAATGCCCATAACTCGAAACCAAACAGAAGAAAACGTCGAATGAGGAATGTGATGTTTGCATTTCGGTAATGTTGCGCATACCGCGGATGAAAACGCGATCGGTTCTGGTAACCACGCGTTGTCATGCATAAATACTTGTCAGTTTGGGCAGCGAGACGAGGTCTCGTCCAGGCCCCCGGGGGCTCTCTCGAGTGTCCAATCAGCAATATCATTGATCACTCTATTTAAAGAAGCCGATGGAAAGCCGTGCAAGCGTGACGTCAAGCGTCGAATTTCCAAGCCAACTTCGTTTAGTCTCAGACGAAGCCAATAATCTCGCTGCTCGCCTGCCAGTCCCTTCGATCCCCGCCTGACAGCGCATATATTACACGCGCGCGCGCGTTCATCCATATTCGCGCAAACTTTCATGGCAGCTCGGAGTGTGTTTTGCATACCATGGAAGAACCTACACCGCGACGGGTTTCGATACGAAAAAATAAATAAAAGAGTGGCAGCAAGCGTGGTTTAATATAAACGTTTCGACCATTGGACGTGATCCTTTTCGGTATGCATACCGACAAAACGGACCGGACAAAAGCGAAACTTTATATCCAGATAAATAATTCATAAGAAAACTAAACGCTAGACAACTCCATTCGTCTGAATGGAATCCCTGATATAACCAAATGGTTCATTAATTTAATTCTGAGTCGAATTGCAGAAGAATTCATTTTGGAGAGCAAATTAGACGTTAAATATCGCAGGAGAAATTGTTGCGCCTGTGGCTTCTGCAATCGCTGACAAAAAGAGTCAGTAAGCGGACGAAGAAGTAAAATGGTTACGAAATATATAGTGGCCATAAATTATTTACCAGACAGAGGAACAAGCATGCCGGCGAGTAGACCATAAAAGATGAAAGAAAACAGAAGAAACCGACGTGTGGAAGAAAACTACGGAAGCTTGCTGGGAAAACAGTAAACTAGCTGTTTTCTTAGACAGCGGATTTATGATACTTCGTGCGTTTCGATGGTCGAGTAGAGACAAATTCCCTTCGATGAAATAATCGCGGAAAATGCCGTGATTTATGTCACGAGGAAATAAAATATTTCGATATTTCAGTATCGTGAGGTACCTAGAATTAATCTTTAAACGTTTAAATATTATTCTTCGTAAATAATTGATACCTAATTCCATTAGTTACCTAATTTAAAGATTTCTCTTGATAAATCACACTCTGCAATCCGTTTCTCGATAATAATAATTCATTCTCTCGTATTTAACACACGATTGGCCCACTTTCGTGGGCATCTTTCTCGAGAAAGCTTGCGATGCGTACGAGATTCCGTAATCCGATTGTAAACCAAGGATAAATCAATTGTGGGTATAATGGGCGGGCGCAAAGTGGCTTACGAAATTCCGAGGAAAAGCCCCGTGGGAAACGTCGTTAAGGGTTGGCCAGAGCAAACGAGGGCGAAACAGAGGAATAGCCAGACAAGAAACTTTAGCAAAAACGGTAAACAAGCTTCTTTCGTCGCCGCCGCGACATGAATTTATGGTCTCGTTCGTGTTTAGTGCATTGCCGCTGCTCGTTGCGAATTCAACTTTTTACCGTGCTATTTTTCATCCGCGTTGATTTTCTTCTCGATGCTCTATGATGTAGCGACACGTTGAAGATGGTCGTTTCCGACTGTTTCGAAGACACACGCGACTCGTATAGTTATTCGAGAACCAGTTTTTTTACTTCTGATTCGAGCAATGGAATCCTCCCAAACATTATTTACGTTTGCGGTACAAGAAATTATTAGCCTAATCGAGACGCAATTATCGATGTTTATTCCATCGTTAACCAACTATTTTCATACCGTGTTCGAGTAACGTAAGGAATGTTTGCTGGAACGGCAGCGTTTAATTGGAGTTGCTCGAGTTACGCCTTCGCTGACGAAGAAACTTTTGCAAGTAACGATTCTTCTTATTATACGAGGTGTTTCCAAGCCAAACGATCAAACTGTATCTATGAATAAAAATTAAATACATATGTTACAGAAACGTGGGTTCAATGTAACTCTGCGTAAAAGTTTAAACATATTTCTGAAAATGTAAAACAAGCATTGTTTCTGCAAGAATATTGTCAAATAAATTCGTAGTTGGTTTTCGATCGAGTTAATATAATTAAAGATGGAGTCTAATAAGCTTAGTATTTTTACTGACATTCTTTTCTAGCAGCTCAGGTATTCTCCGTTACAGAAATCCTGAATGAAATAAATACTTAATTGTTTTTCTAATTACTTCCTTATTTCGTGCGTTGATTTGCACAAATTAGCGTTAACGCTATCATTCGAACGATAATGGTAAAAATTTAAATATGAAATTAATGATGTATGCTTACTACGCGTATTTTTTGCTCAACAATGATGACAATTTAAGGCTGTACATGCGTATCGATAGTTATTGATACCGAGACAAACCTGCTCAGTTTCTTCGTATTTTTAATATACGTAAAGTTGATAGTTTACCAGAAATCATTTTTGCTCCCTAACAATTTCATTTTACTTTTGTTCCTAGAATACGCTGACCTAAAACTAATAATTTATGGTCAATAAGTATAGTATTGTTGCACTTCGTCTCGAATAATCGTCGTTTATCTCGTTACACAAATAACGTAACAGATCGACGTTACGGTGCCAATTACGTCTGTTCATTTAATTGGAATTAACGCAGTGTTTACTGCTTATTGTTCGTTGGCTTAATTAGTCGGCTCGGAATCATGAAAAGAGTTATTCTCTTTTGACACTTCGGGAACATTTCGATCGACTTCTTTTTACGGCGCAATATCGTCGCTGTTTCGTTTAAAGAGGGTCAACCAATAACAATTAGAACGTTTAGTATCTTGGAACCAAAAGTGGGAGGACAATTTGTCGAACGGAAGCTTCACTCTATGGAAGAGGTCGCCACATCGAGGTTAGGCTCGATAACAGTACTCTAACTGCACCTCTTACGTATTTACATATTCATTGTATATACAAGGCGTGGCGGAATTCGTAGAACAATCGGAAAGGAATCGATTCTGCGTTCGGGAATGAAGAATTCTTTTTCGAGCAAATCTATTCTCAAATTTCTTCGCGACGAGCGTGTCTGATCCTTACTTATTAATTCTACTAGCTAAAAATTCTGGGTAAATTAAAATAAATAATTACAGCGAAGTTGTTTCAGTGTCACAGAATTTATAAAGTTTCACCAATGCATATCCTTTCAATGAGTGTATAAACGTTGGTTCGTAATGGGTCATCGCGTGTCCAAAAACCGATTCTTTTCTATTATTCGTGATATTATGAAATTATACGATATTAGTAGATTTTAAGATACTTCGGGTGTTCCATGTAGGCTGGTTTTCCTCTGGTATAATAATGGAAGTAGGCAGGATCACTTATCTGCAATTAAACGCGATAGTCGGGTAAAAATATACGCAGCTATCTGGATCGCGATATCTTTGACGGGGATGGTCCCGTAATGCACGATCCCGAGGAGAACCTTCCGACACGCAAACTTCATATTTCGTAGGCGTCGAGCAATTTCGGGGACGGGCATCATTGTCACGCTCGCCGCAATTATTCCGGGGGTATCCGTCGTTTGCACTGCGTCGAAATAATTACTTGGACTGTATAACTACGGGGGCACAATTATCGTGACAACAGTCGACCCTCGTTCCGGGCGTTCCACGGATTCTCCTTGCGATCCTCTTTCATCGAACTTCCGCGAAAATTGGAATAGTTCGGCTCTTCTGGCTCAGCAACCGTTGCTCCTTAATCTCCTTCCATTCTCTCTCTCTCTCTCTCTCTCTTCCTCTCTGCTTGCTTCTGCCTCTCAATACACTTGACTTTGTTCCTTCGTTCATAGTGCATTCGTGGAGAACATTGACGAATAAGTTTCCCCAGCCCTGCTCTTTTCTTCGACTGTATTCGACCCCGAGGGATTTCCCCTTGTATCTTCATTTTTTATCAAACAAGTAGTTTATTTCCAAAATTTAAATGGTATTCGAGGGTTCTGTCAACATCAAAAAACAAAACATAGGAAGCACCTTTTTCGTAATTCCTTTTATTTTATGCAATTGCTTTTAACAAGAGTGTTGGAAATAAAATAAATGGGAAAGCTTCGCGAAACGCAGTGCAAATATTTGTCGCGAAGTAACGTGTAAAAATGGAACTAAAATACCCGTTGTTTGGTAAACAACAAAGAACAACGAAACATCTCTGTATGGCAGTGTTTTTTTTTATTTAAATTATAAAATAAACAAAAATTGTTGATCAAATGGCCTGCAGACGAATAGCAAAACGTTCTAGAGCAGAATTAGCTACTAATTAGTTAGTTATCTTCTGGAGTATTTAGCCTTTTCATATATCTTGTCACATCTTACATAACCAGAATTGTCGTTCTTTGTCGCTAACTCGATTTTCTCTTTTTGTTTCAGGTAAGTCGCACAGTCGATACCACAACTAACTTTCAAAGAAATCTCTCATGACAGGTATTTATTGTAACTAGTCATTGTCTATAAAGAAGCATTATTTTATCCTCTATTAACGATTAATTGCACGTATAATCTCTTCTGATTTTCTCTAATTTAAACTCCTTTTATAAATTCGTATATGAATCGTATACTTCTGATCAAAACGAGACTAAACACGACACAATTTCATATTTAACAAGTGAAAGATAACTCGTTGTCATCGTTTGCTAACTGCACCCTTTTCTCTCTTTCACTCACTGTCCTTTTCTACGTTCTACCATAAAGAGGCGAACACTGTCCTCGATCCAGACTCTTTTTCTTTCGCTCGAACTTACCGCTGTTCCCTTCTACGCTCGGAACGACCAAAGAACGGTCTCGAAGGTCCGTTTTTACCGCGACGTGTTTGACTTTGGACTCCCTTCACAAAAGAATACTCGTACGCGATACAAGTACGACTGGATCCGTACGTGTAATTTAATGGGATCGTTCAGAGGGTGGCTCTGTCCGCGTCGAGATCAAAATTTCCATGTGTCTCGTACGCGGTATCGCATACAAGTATCATCGCGCGAGAGGGCTCTTGGCTGTTTAATTGCACCCCCGTCGCTGCATTTCTCGGTACGCCGTTGACCATCGGTGTCCCGTGCACGTTTCAGGAGTTCAAATTCGTAGCTTAAATTCAGTGAGTTTAAGCTGGTCGGAGCTCCTAATTGCGACGATCACCCCATCAGTTTCCCTTGCGATATGCCCTCCATCCGTGTCTCCCCGTGTATCGGCTCAGCGACCCTTGTGAGTGGCGTGCGGACTGGTTATGGACTGGCTAGTCGATGCACTGCTGCCGACGGTGGACTCCACGGCGCCTCACGCTACTCCCATTGCAGACTCTCCGGCGCCCTTTTCCACCCCCTTTCTCTCCCAGTCTCTTTCTCACCCTTCCACCAATCCCCCTTCACGCTCCAACGGCGGCACGTGTTGGAAAAACGAGTAATATCAACCCGTTCTGAAAAACTGCCCATTACAACGCTCCGTTCCCTGGAACACCCGTTCGAAATCAAAGATTTTCAAATATTCTCTCTATCTCCTTCCATTTGTGAGAAATTTTGATAAAAAACCACATAATGCACTCAACGCTAAATTATCGAAGAAACGTTTAGATTTGCAAAAATTTAGTCGACTATATTTTTTACAATTTAAAAAGAATTTTAAGCGCGTAGTGATTTTCATATTTTTGGGATTTAATGGACGATGCACCTCGAATCGCATAAACGCGATAAAAATTTTTCGAGCCATGTCCATCGACGTAGCACGCAGAAAATAAATTGTACTTTATTATTTTATCATTCGTTTCTCCCCCACGAGCGCGGCTCGTTCGCCCCCTTCCAACCCTCGAGTAATGGCGAGGCAGCCAGGAAACGTAGGAGGTCCTTTCGAGCTCGTGTCACGACACGGCTTGGTCACACATGTTGGCTTGTTTGTTGAAAACATGGCGGTGGTAATAAAACTAAATCATTTTTTTCTGTACGATGCTGATGGCAGACGCTGATGGCTAACCATGAAAAAGGGTGTCCATCAATTATGACGTTATCGTTGGCGAAGTACCGTGCACATTGGACAAGTAACGTATGCCGGGATATAAAAATAAATATCCGGCATTAAATACGAGATAGGAGAAATAAATGCACAGTAATTGCAATAAGATAAAATTAATCGAAAAAATAGTAAATAAATAATTGTCGTTTTTGCTACCTTTTTATACCTTCTACTATTTATATAAACTTTTACTCGAAAGGGATTTCGAAATAATTAAATGTGAATTTTGTTTTTAAAACAACTACTAGTTATGAATTATTTATTTTTTATTTTCTTTCAAAATTAGTATCTCGATAAGAACGTTTCTGCCTTATACACGCCTTTTCTTTCAACGACAGTCGTTTCTACAATCGATTGCTTTCGCGAAGGGGTTGAAGTCACTTCACTCGGTCGTCCATCGTTCCGCGATCGATCTTAAGGCGAGAATTCATCGAGTTATCGCGTGGAAATATCGCCAGGACGAAAAAGTTCCTTCTTGTTCGACGGCGTTCTTTGTCTGGGGAAATTGCTTTCGCGTTTTTAACGAAAAAGTCGATAATCGAGGGAACGCGAGCGGACAAACAACGTTGTCAAAGCGAACGAATTTACCGCGAAAGAGTCTTCATTAATATTCATGATTTTTCGGGGCTCGATGAAAATTGGATTACCGTTTCGAAAAGTATTTCGTATGGCAGATCCATTGAAAATTTTCAATGCCTCCGTATTTTTTAATTCCATTAAAAAGGGGTTGGGAATGTTGAACTTTGTTTAGTAACGATTAAACGGGTGAATGGACCTTATTATTTGATCCCGGGAGTCCAAGAAATTTATTTTAGCAATGAAATTATTCCTCTTCTACTTGAAGATAGATGATGTTCATTTAGAATTACTCGTAAACAAATGAAAACAGTATTATTCGTTTCTGTTACTCCCATATCACGATGTTATGGAAGTATTTTCGAAATGTAATTTTAATAAATCCTCGCAAAAAATGATCATTCATCGCGATGAACGGTAATAGAATTTTGGTTACAAGTACGGAGGCAAGCTAATTACGTCAGATCAGGAATGAAAATTACAGTCGATCGCAGTTGATAAATACGGGGTTTCGTTATTAAGCCGACCGTGGTTAACAAATAATTTCTCCGAGTATGGAATTATTGCCGCTATTAAATGCTTCCTCCGAGTAGATCCATTTAAATTGAGAAAGTTACGTCTTCGCTAAACCGACGTTGAATTTTCCCAACCACGAAATTGCACGAACTCCCGTCCCTAGGCTTATTTTAACGAATCTGCCGTTAACGGATCACGGCTATAGTCACAGCCAAATTAATTGGCTGCTCAAGGCCACCGAGCTAAACTATCCTCCACCGTATCATTTGCCTCCCATATCAATTTATCTTCCGCTTCTTCGACCCAAACCTACTAATACTCTCCTCATGACTAATCGACAAAGTGTATTTCAGAGACAGGCATCATTTTATTCGAATGGTAGATATCCAACAAGATAAATTAGGCATTTTAACGCAAAATTAATCTTTTGTAACCCTGCCAACTTTTAAAATTGCATACAATATTCTACACACCTTGGGCTCCCAAATTACACGAAACAAAAATTGTTCGACCCATGCAAACCAGACTATGCACTGCCCAAAATTTTCTTTGGGAATGGGGGATTTTTCAAGATTTTTATTTGACTTTATATTTTGTTTTTCCAAAGTTACACAGAAAATAAGAGATTTGATTCGTAAGGGGGAAGTGGCCTTGAACGGTCAATTAATTTCGTCCAGACTAGATGGCACACTCGTGGTTTTCGTGACGCTAGTTTGTGCCTCGTGATTCTTTAACGAGCCGCGAACGAACGCGGCTTCCCGCCAGCCGTTTTCTTGCACCCTTTTTCTGGCTGGTCTTCCCGTGACCGCAATGAAATCGAAACGACGAATCGCACGGGGGTTCCCCTTCGCCTCCGAATCGCCGTGGTAAATTATTAGCGTCGCGTGTCCGACCAGTCTCGAGTATCGATTCGTACGGTCTGCGCGTTCCTTTTTTTCGGACGGCCTCCTCGTCGTTTCAATTTCCAAGCGGCCGTCGTTGCCCATTGGAAAATTGCTACATACATCGGTACGACTGCGTACAGCTATAAAGAACACCCGCCTGAACCAGATACAGGCAAAACTCGCGTACAAATAAAAATTACCAAATGCGAATAAAACATGAGCGTACACACCGTTTCTTTTGGTTTCGGTTAGGTCGATTAAATATTAGAATTTGTCGAACGAAATGTTTTACGACGATGAAAATGTCAAGATTGCGTTTCTCGATTGAACAAAGATTTTTATTCCCTGTAAGAAATTATATTTCAAAAAGTGGCTTTGTTACTTGAAACCATTTTCCAAGTTTATATTTTTTATTTGTTCTACGATTCGACGATCGAAGAGTCACCGATCTGTGCACTTTGCGTTTCATTTGTTTGCTATTTATATTTAGTATGCTCGACGCGAGGCGGACACTTTGAAAGCTGCTTATGCTCTGTCACGATCGCTGCTCGAAATTCAGTTGGAATTGTAGATTTCTGTTGTTTTGAAGAATAAACCAGGATTTGCGCGTGTTTTTGTATACAGAACAGGTTTGCATAAAGGCGGAATACGGGTGAAAATTCAGCCACCTTCTGTTAATACATTAATCATCGAAGCGGTAACGACTGCAGGAGTATATTTGTCTTCTAAACGTGGCGTAAAAATTTTTCCCATGGATGTCTCGCACTTTGAAAACAGTGGAATAGATTGTTAAAAATAAAACCTTGTAGAATCGGCTTTATCTCCGAATTCAATGTTGACAAAACGTGCTGAACTAATAAATCATGGGGAACATTTCAGACGTGTTTGAACAGCTGAACAGTTGAGTACGTAGTGTGTGACTTATGAGCAGCGCGACCGAGGAGGAATTATTTCCACAACTAGGAAAGAAATCTACGGTGCAAAAACCAAGTTGTATCAAAAACTGCGTTATTAACGACCCGTTCAGGAAAACTTGAATTTTTCACTCGAGCAATTGGATACGCACAAATATTTTCCGCATAAATGTCTCGTTAGTTTTTACGATTCTTTTTGTACTCTTTATTGGGAAACCTTGGGCCACAAAGAATTCGTTTCCCGACGGAAATGCGAAATTTAGAGCTCTGCTGTTTTACAGTGCCCCGCATCTATGACGCCATAACGTCACTCTCGTAATCTTATCGCGCTCGGGTACCGTCTGCTTCGTCGTTCAAAACGAGGCTTTACGACTCCTTTAGTGCTCACTTTATTGCCAAATGAGTTCTTGCGTAAGTTTTTTTATTGAAAGCTCTTGGACCATCGCGATATTAGAATAGAGAGGATGCTACCTCGCGGTGATATAAACATTCCACAGCGTATGTCGTTCGAGCCTTTAGTTTGCAAATCAGCCGCCTCCAGTTCTCAACTCGCGGTAAAATGACCATGCAATGTTATATTAGAGCGATGGATTCACTCCAAACGAACACTATCTACGGTTTCATATCTATTTAAGAGTATCTACTGACGGAAATATACATTAGTTTGTAGTCATATTACGACACGACATTGCACGATTGGTCATCTTTAGGCCAATATTTATATAGAATTTTTGATTCATCGTTTATTATCGAGTGAAAGTTTTTTTTTTTTGTGTTATTACATTTTACAAAATATTTTACCTGTGGGAAATACTGCTTTAAAGCGTGCTTCATCAGCGCGACATTAATAGACGCGAAATTCGCGGCTTCTCGAACGACAGGTTTGAAAAATCGCGCCGACGTCGTTTATGGAGCGTTTAACCTCGCGTTCTTCTCCAGCGCGCCGCTAATTCGCTTAATTAACGTGGCTTCCACGCCTCGTCGACGCGACATGGCGACTTCCATGGAGCTCGTTCCAACGGAACGCAAATTTCCTTCAGTCACGGAAATCTAGCCGGTGAAGATGACCTTCGTGCGAAATTTGCATATAGTTTTCATCTAAATCCTTCCCCCTTTTCGAAACGTTACTCTTTTTAACAGAGGAATATCTTGATTGACTTAGAGGAAAACTTGTGACGCTTTACTCAGGTATTGTTTATCAAAATTTTGATGGGGAAACTGTCAAGCTTGCAGTTCGCGTAACAATAACGATCATAATGTCGGGCAAATTGTTTCCAAGGACCTCCGCGCTGTCGTACGCCGCACGAATTTAGGGCGCGCAATTTCGTCGTAAACACGTCGAACGGGATCGTCGCGTTCTATCTGTTTCCCATACTACTCGCGCCATTAAACCGAACAAGTCGATTTAACGGACAATGAATTACAAACCGTCGCCGCAAACGGACAGTTACACGAACGCGAAACAAGTTTATAGGTTTATTACGAAGCGGTACGCGCGCTGCCATTTCCTGTGGAGCGCGTGTACCACGTAGTTGGAAATTGAGGGGAAACTCGGGTTTCCCTTAGCCCGGTGACGAATTCGAACGCTTGACGTGGCCGTGGGGCTTCCTGTTGTCAGATTCCCTATCGATTTTCCACCGACGAATCTCATTTAACACTTTCCATTCGCTCTGAATGACCCACCGTCAAATTATGTCTACATTGGAGACGTTCAATGTTTCAATGGATGCACTTATTATTACATAATATCTTCCGTAGCAAATGTTACTCGAAAATGAGAAGGTGTACTTATGGTAGACGTTCTGACAAAGACAGGGGGTGAAAACAGGGTTGATTTAGCTATTTATTAACTTAAATTTGTGATAACCCTCTTGTTGGAAAAGTTGGAGTAAAAATAAAATTATTTTCTAAATACGTTTCGTATTGTTGCATTGAATATTTATGTTGTAGACTGTTGGATGAAAGTAGACATTTGTTGACTTATTTATTTTAATTTATTTCGAATATTGTAACGCGAAAGGAATATATAACATCGATTTTTTAAATGATATAACGTGAACGCGTTTTTAGAATGCTGCTGAACGTCAGCCTGACCTTTTGCACGTTTCTAACAAAGTAATCTGACCCCGCGAAAAGTTTAAGTCCTTTCGAACTCGTTCAGATGGATTGAACGATCGACTAATTTTTCTGTTACAGGAATAATGAAGAGAGAAGCTGATGCAGGCGCGATGACAGGTTCCGGAGGACCAACAAGTCCTCACAAGCGTTACAGACAGGGTGACGATGAACTTCGTCTTCTGATCCCCAGCAAGGTAAGACTCGACGTCCATCTATCCAATCACGAAAGTAGTCTTCATAGAAAGGAAAGAAACTAGCGATCGAAGGATTAAATTTCTCGCGAAAATTCAATATTCGTGTCTTATGCAAATTTTTTAGCAACCAAGCGGGAGAAACTGCTTAGAATACTTTCTAACTTCTGGAGAAACTGCTTCGAGTACTTTCCCATGTCCGACTACTTTGATAATGTCCAAAGAAACTTCTCGGAATTGTTAACGAAGGCTGTCTAAAAACTATCCGTTCGACAAAGTAGATTTATTATCCCTTTTCTTGTTGCAAAAGTTTCTTTTTATCTCTGCAATTGTTTAAGTACAGCGCGTTTGTACCGCGAACCTGCGTTGCTTCGTTATAATAATTGAGAAAAACAATTCGTGTGTGACCGTAGGCAGGGATAACGATCTCCCCCCCGCAATCGTTCGTTCTTGCAATAATTTTTCCTCGCGATTATCCGAGGAAAATCACGAAAGAACCTTCTCAGCCATTTTTTTTCCTAGCCAGATAAGGCCTGCGAACAATCTGCGTGTCTCTGCAGTTGCGTTCCGTTTCCCACATGCGATCGTTTCTGTTTTTCACTTGTTTCTTTATCGCGTATAGCGTTGTATCAGCAAAAGTTTGCTGACTGGTACGCGAAACCTCGCTGTGGTAGCACGTTCTCTTCCGGTTATTGTCGCCACGAACTGTTATCGGGATTCCTTCGACTTTCTTTTGCCGGGGAAATTTCCTGAAATAGACACAACCACGTCCGATGTTCCGCTGGGAAATGGACACTCTCTCTCGGTGCAATTCCATCGAATCATCCGTTCCACTTAATTCTACGTGTCTGTCGATATCGATGTTTTCCATTAATTTCATTTTTCAAACCAAAAATTGTTCTCTCAAACCTTCGCAAAAAGTATACTCTTTCTCAGGAATCTCGTAAGCAATAATTTATAAAAATTCTCAAATTGAATTCCGGTCTAAGACAACCCAAAGCAATCCAATCGAATTTTATCATCCATCGTGTAACGCGTTTAATTCGATAAAAAAAGAAACCTGGCGATTCGGAATTTGGTTATTTCTTTACGCGATGAATAAATGTCTGACTCGCAATGCCACTCGTTTATCTTGATCGCTGGAACGCAAATACGCGAAACGAAATCATTCGAACCGACCGCCTCCGCCTTTGATCGGGAATAAAAAAAAAAAAATTCCTGCGCGATACACAATACCGCTGTGCAATCAAAATTTTTGCCGATTGATCGCGTATCTGAATTGGTCATCATTGTTCCCCGCTGTACAGCGTCATCCTACCCTCGCAAAAAAAAGTACAAACAAAGGTACGGACAAAAGAGCACGCAATAACGAACGCGCGCAGCTTGTCTCTTTCGTAAAATTTCAAAACGCGATTACGATTCGCCGCGGTTCCGCCTGTCGGTTCCGATCGTCCCTCGATTTCGTCTTCATCGATCTGGATCGTGATCGAGACGGTCGCGCGCCACCGATCCGGCACAATATCGATCGCTTGTCGTGCGTTTAATCGCGAGATCCCCCCGTGAAAATGGCTGCCGGTGTCAGGGTCGGTCGGTCTTGAAATCGACGATGAATTGTTTCTTTTGTAAGCGGATCCATTCGCTCTGGTCGACCATGGTAAATCTACGCAGTGGTTTCGATCGAAACGTAACGAAATAAGCGAAGCAAACAAGTGTAAACAAAAGTAAATCGCAGAAAATGATATTCGAATGGCGATAAAGTCGAATAATTTTCTTTCAAGTTATTAATTCATAGTTACGATTCAACAGTTTCCAAATTTGTTACCTCCCTTTAGAAAAATGTTTTTTCACGAAAATAAAAGCATAAAAAATTTGAAAGAAATCTCTCAGTATAGAAGCTTAAATTTTTCTTTGTTCGCAATTTAAAAATTTTAATTCGATTTTCAGGTCAATGCTCTATCCTACTCTTTTTCTTTAAAAAGGTGCACAGTATGGTTATTTCTTCTTCATCGATTTCTGCACTTGATATTAATTTGCTAAGATTCTGTGTAAATGTTATGAGAATTTAATAAGCCTCTAGCTACGTATAAATACTATTTTAGCGTTGAAAAACTCGCTCTTGATCGCTGTAACTTTGGCGCTGCACCCATTCGAGAATCGATCGACCTTCCGACGCGTTTCTGAGCCGAGATTCTCCGCCCACGATTCGCGTTGCTCCGCGAAAATTGATTGCCTTTTGTGAGAAACGAAAAAGGAAGAAATTGAAATGAGACACGCGTCGCAATTAAACCCTTCGATGGGCCTGCGTGTCGAGGTCGACTCGAAATTACATGATACATGCCCTCTTGTTTTCTTCCTCGTCCCTTTCGTATCTGTAACACAGCCAATTTAATTCGCGATAAAATCGTCCCATTTTCCGGCTCGTTAGAATCACTGAATCCTATGTTGCACGTTGTTCAATTATAAGTGAACAACATCGTATTCCTTACCTAGTATTCCTTACGAATATATAAATTCGTAGACAATAATTATTAAAAAACGAACGTATCGAAGCCTCGTGGCTATATTTCTTCTGTGGGATCGGGAAGATAATGACTCCGCTCTGTTCCGTTCCGCACAATTTTATTGTTGCTGTCGTACAACGACGTGACTCGTGGTGCGGGTTACGCTCGACTCTCTGGTACGATCATCGCCACCGTACCAAGAGGCCTTCAAAAACAACAGACGGTCAGAGACGACGACAACGGCTTTTCGGCTCACGCGGCTCTGGTCGTCTCGTGTGCAACCATCGTGTCGTGTGCAACCATCGTCTCGTGTGCAACCATACATTGTAGCGGCTTCGAACGGCTAAGGCGTATGTGGTGCCTTGGCCGCCACACTACCCCCCTGCCAGTAATTGGCACAATTACGAAAAATTGACCGACTACATTACCACTACCATTTACTCTATTATATAAAATACGTTATCCTAACTAAGATTTACATTACAGTATTTGAACAGAGTTGAAAAAAAAAGGAATTTACATGGAGTTTAATATATAATACGTAATACCTAAAAATACATGAAAGTACATAAAAGTGATGGAAAAAAATAAATGGTATATGATACTTATTATAATAATGCGCAAGCCTTAAGTACTACCGCGTAATTTGAAATCGCTCGGGAAAACGTACGCGTCTACCTGAACGCGTGACACGTTGCTGTATAACCGGCGCATTGTCAGGTACGTTTGTTTGTGTGACCGGCTGATTTTCTATGCTCACGGGATCCGGTCTGTTTTCTGCTAGCATATAAGCAGGCTTTAGCCTTTCAATTGATATATTTATTTCCTTACCTCTAATGTTTATTGTAAATGTTTTTTCGCCTCGGCGCACTACGGCGTATGGACCTTCATAAGCGGGTTGTAAAATAGTTTTGGCTGAATCTGTTCGGATGAAAACATGTGTTGAACTGCTAAGATCTTTGAAAACGAATGTACGATTAACGGAATGGCGTGAAGCATTAGAGGGACTCAATTTAGAAAAATGGTTGCGTAGTCTATTAGTAAAATCGGAAGCATTTTCTGTGCCTTCCGCTGAATGCGAAGACAAGAACTCTCCCGGTAATCTTAATGGCTCGCCATAAACTAATTCCGCTGAGGTAGCGCCGAGGTCTTCTTTCCAGGCGGAACGAATACCGAGTAGAACCGTCGGAAGTATTTCTGTCCACCTGTCGGATCCGTGGCACCTTATAGCCGACTTGAGCTGTCGGTGAAAACGCTCTACCATCCCATTGGCCGCTGGGTGATACGCCGTTGTGCGAAGGCGTGTGGATCCAATTAAATTGTTCAGCGCAAAAAATAATTTGGATTCGAACTGCCTACCCTGATCGGTGGTAATCCGTACGGGAGCACCAAACCGCGCTACCCAACCGTCATAAAAGGTTCGAGCTACGGTTTGGGCCTCCTGATCGACCATGGGGAAGGCTTCCGGCCACCGCGTATATCTGTCTACACAGGTCAGACAATACCTGAAACCTTCGGACACCGGTAAAATTACTATGTCTAAATGAATGTGTTCGAATCGCGCAGAAGGTTTAACAAATGTAGCCAATGGTGCAGTCACATGACGGGAAATTTTTGATCTTTGGCACGGTATACAGCAACGTGTCCACGTGCGAACATCTCTTTTAATCGACGGCCAAACATAACGTTGCGTTATGAGCTTGATCGTCGCGTTAATACCTGGATGTGATAATACATGTAACATATTAAAAACTGCACGTCGGAAAGGAGGGGTGACATAAGGTCTTACATTCTTAGTCGAAATATCGCAAAAAATTTCGGAAGACGTGCCAGGCAACGAGACTTTGCGTAATTGCAGGCTAGATTCGCTATTCAACAACCGCTGCAACTCCTCATCCTGGGCTTGCGATTTTGCCAATTCTTCGAAATTAATCGAGTGGTTAACCGTTTCCACTCTGGACAGTGCATCGGCAACGACGTTGTCTTTACCGGAAATATGTTGAATATCTGTAGAGAATTGCGCAATGTAATCTAGGTATCGGAATTGTCGAGGAGAGCATTTATCTAATTTCTGTTTGAAAGCGAAAGTTATGGGTTTATGGTCTGTAAAAATCGTGAAATGTCTGCCTTCGAGCATATGTTTGAAATGTTTTATTGCTAAATAGATAGAAAGTAGTTCCCGGTCGTAAGCTGAATACTTCTTTTCGGCAGATCCTAATTTCTTAGAAAAGAATGCTAATGGTTGTCGTTCGTTGCCGACGCACTGATGTAAAACAGCTCCTACGGTGTAATCAGAAGCATCGCAGGTAACCGACAATGGAGCGTTGACCGCAGGATGAGAAAGCAGGGTTGCGTTTGCTAAACTATTTTTGGTATTTTCGAAAGCCTGACGCGCTTCCGAAGTCCAGGCTATCAGGGTCTTGCCCTTTAAATTGCCGGCTAGAAGGTCGTTCAAGGGTGCTTGAAAGCGAGCGGCATCTGGGATAAAACGGCGGTAAAAATTAAGCATTCCCAAGTACTGCCTCAAATCCTTCGCGTTTTTCGGAAGGGGAAATGACTTTATGGCTTGTACCTTGCCGGGCAAAGGTTGAGTGCCGCTTTCATTTACCCGATAGCCTAGAAATTTAACTTCTTCCTGTCCGAACGTGCATTTATTCGGATTAACAACAATGCCATAATCTTTTAATCGTTTAAATAATAATTCTAAATGGCGCAGGTGATCGGCTTGGGATTCTGAGGCGACCAAAATGTCGTCTATATACGCGTAACAAAAATCGAAACCGCGTAAAATTTCGTCGATAAAGCGCTGAAATGTTTGCGCGGCATTTCGTAACCCGAACGACATGTACGGGAATTCAAAAAGCCCGAACGGCGTTGTAATGGCCGTTTTTCCGACGTCTTCCGACGCAACCGGAATCTGATTATAAGCTCGGACGAGATCTATTGTGGAAAATACCTTTTTGCCACTCAGTTGTTGCGCAAAATCCTCAATGTGACGCACGGGGTATCGGTCGGGAATTGTCCGTGCGTTTAACGCTCTATAGTCACCGCAAGGCCTCCAAGCTTCTTCGCCCTTCTTCGGAACCATATGAAGGGGTGCTGACCACGCGCTCTTCGAAGGACAAGCGATGCCCATCTTCACCATCGCGTCGAACTCCTTCTGGGCAGCCCTGAGCCGGTCCGGTGCAAGCCGCCGCGGCTTGCTGGAAACGGGTGGTCCAGGGGTTGTCTCGATGTAATGCACCGTTTGGTGAGTAGTCCTCATCGGGGTGCCGCTAGGCCGTGTAAGTTCCGGCATCTGCATCAGGAGCTGGTGGTAAATGGTAGTCCCTGCTACTGTCTTCACCGACGTCGTTTCATCCTCGGCTCGTGTTCCGCGGACCGTTAACGACGTGGTCCGATCGACGAGGCGACGATTGCGGATGTCCACCATAAGATCGAAGTGATCGAGAAAGTCTACCCCGATTATGGGTTTTGTAACATCCGCAACCACGAATCGCCACACGAAATCCCGTCGTAGGCCGAGGTGCAGGTTTAACGACACTGTCCCGTAGGTGTTAATTACACTCCCATTCGCCGCCGCCAGCTGGTACTCCGATCTTTCTCGCAATCCGCCTAGCAGGCGGCGCGGAAAAACGCACAAATCGGCCCCGGTATCCACTAAAAATTCCGTCTTCGAGCTGTTGTCTAAGATGAAGAGGCGGCGTGATGCTGGATTTGTGTCGCTGGCCGCCATCAACGACTCCCCAGGTCGTTTCCCTGATCCGTGGCGTTCCAATTGCACGGTGCAACGCACCTCTGCGCGGCCGGACCGAACCGCCAATGGTACCAGCATTTCCCTTGATGGTCCATTTGTCCTCCCGCGGGCCGCTCTCGCGATCGCGATAGAGATCGTCTGCGGTAGCGCGAGTTTGGATGATTTCGGTGGGTCCACCTGCGACGGGAAGATTGCCCCTGGTCCACCAAGGATTCACGGATGGCAGAAATTTCCTGCCTCAAGGAAAGAGCCAATTGCGACATCTTAATGTTTAACATGGCCTCGATGCTCGGGCCCGGCGGGGGTATTTGGCAGGATGTAGATACGCCCGTAATCGCGGCCTCCGTGACGTGTACCCGCGGTGTCATCGTATCCGCAACAGCGTCTGCCAACTCTGCCACCTTATCCAGCGGGGTGTCCCGCTGCGTGGCTAAAATCACCTGCATATTAGCAGGTAGTCGGCCCATCCAAAGCGTCCGCAATACACCGTCCGAAAAAGCCGTACCGGCCAATCCGCGCAGGTGACGAAGAAATTGGGACGGTTTTCTGTCCCCGATTTCCTCGTGTTCCAATAACCGCCGCGTTTTCTGTTCCTGCGACGCACTAAGCCGGCGAATGAACTCATTTTTTAGCGTCGTGTACGGATCCGCGGCCGGGGGATTCATGATAATGTCTCTTACTTCCGCGGCGTGTCGCGCACCTAACGCGCCGAGAATGTACCCGAATTTCGTGGTCTCCGACGTTACATTGGATACCTCAAAACTTCTCTCTACACTAACTAATATTGTCCGTATACAAAAAATGTCCAAATTTTCTTAAAAAAAACTTTACTTGCGCGGCGAGATCACGTCGGGGTCACCAATGTGGGATCGGGAAGATAATGACTCCGCTCTGTTCCGTTCCGCACAATTTTATTGTTGCTGTCGTACAACGACGTGACTCGTGGTGCGGGTTACGCTCGACTCTCTGGTACGATCATCGCCACCGTACCAAGAGGCCTTCAAAAACAACAGACGGTCAGAGACGACGACAACGGCTTTTCGGCTCACGCGGCTCTGGTCGTCTCGTGTGCAACCATCGTGTCGTGTGCAACCATCGTCTCGTGTGCAACCATACATTGTAGCGGCTTCGAACGGCTAAGGCGTATGTGGTGCCTTGGCCGCCACACTTCGTTCAGACGTTGAGAAAAGTTTCTACGATTTTAATCTTATCGCGAACGTGAGGTAAGAAGTATTATACTCGTTCGTTTCTTTTTCGCGGCGATAAGAGGCAAGAATTCAAACTATTCCGAATGAACGTTATTCGAGGTATCGATTGCGTGAATTTAAACGTGTGATCGACAGAAGTCTCAGTTATTTGTTCGGTAGTAGAGCTTTCTTGAATAAATAAAATTAATAAAATTTAAAATTCTGTGGTGAAAACGTGTGTGTGTCGCTGGTGTGTCGCCTCGGTCGTAAAATCGCCTCGCCTTTGAACTACGGAATACCTCTGGGGAACTTTCACCGCAGGAAACTTTGTACATCCTTGAGCAAATGATTTTATAAAATAAAAATACGCAGCCTCGTGCAATTAAAGTACCTCTCGCGAGTTTCGAGCACGACGATGGGTCGTTCGAGCCATTGGAAATGATTTTATTCTAATAAATAGAAATTAAAATAAACGAACAATTATACTTCTATGTGTTCGTAGCCAAATATTTCATTCTATTTTACGAGCAAGGAATGAATTTCATATTTTACTTACGAGTAGCTCTTGCTAGTGTTGATATCAGTACAAAAATATATTCTAGATTAGAGAATAGTAAATGTATTTAGACATATATAGTACTGATCGAAGCAATAAAATATTCAAAGCATTCATTTTTTATTTACTTCTCAACTCGATATAAAATAACGTACAAATTTGTTTAGAGTAAAAACACGATCAAATTGAATTTCAGAAAAAATCATTTTTTTATGTGCTGCAAATTGTACCTGGTTTTCAAATATTCAACCTTTCACTTTTCTACACGTCCATCGAGTATGTTTAATCGGTATAAGGTTTATTGGATTATGTTAATTGGATTATGTTGTAAAACAGCCTTATTCGCTTAAACTTTGCCCTCACGCTTTGCTTGGTACACTTTCCCTATGGACGTGTTGCTCTTGTATTTTCATTTGGCGCGTAAAATAATTAAATAAAATACGCTGAATATGATATTTCCCGGTTTACACGTTTAATAAAGGAAGATATGATTTTCTGTTGCAGGTAGCCGGTTCGATAATCGGCAAGGGTGGCCAGAATATCACCAAACTCAGGAGTCAGGTAAGCTGTTGCATCTTCCGTTCGTTTATTATAGTTTCCCGTCGTCTCGTTTTCTTCGTTTCGTCCCGTGTTGCTCGTCGATGGCAAACACGGGACGCTGAAGAGGGCGAGAGATCAACGTTTCGAGCGTTAGGCCAAAGAAGGTCGTGAGAATGAATGTTGAAACGGCGAACGTGGACTCGTCGCAGAAATGTCGCCAGTCTTATTATCGACGACGATCAACGGAAGATTCACTTTCACGAGCTTCTTACTCCGTTCTCGAGCTAATCCCGTGCGAATCCTAGAGGCGAACAGTTCCGATCTGGCACGTCGACGTAATCGTGCCAATCGATCGTGATCCATTAGCTGGAATGTTAGGGAAAGATGCCCGTATTTCTGGAACGTGTGTGGACTCGTGTTCTCTTACAGTTATTCTGCAATCTCGATTCGATGGTGACTTAAACGAATACCAAAAGAGATCTGAAATTTTTATGAAAGTTTACGGTTCGATGTCGAAACTATTATTCCACACACGTACGAAAATGCCGTCATCGTGCATTTGGTTCCTGAACTGGGGAAGTTTCCTTCGATTCAATTCTCTCGTTTCCTTTTAAATCATTATTGAGTCACCATGGAATTGCTTAGATCATCGGTTAATGTGCAGCTGAAACGATCGTGATTCGAGGGAACACATGGGCGTGGAATTGCGTCTGTCCCTGAACGCTTGGTTAAAGATGCGGCTCGTGTGCCGACGAGTAAAGCCTGTTCTACGCTAGCACGAACCGAACGTCTTTGATTTCGATTTGATAATTAATTATTTTCCAAACTCTGAACTTCGAAATTAATTTCGCGCCTGCTCGATAACTGCGTCTACCAAAGTATCTTATATACATACAGTTACTCCCACTCGTATGACGATGATTATAACTATAATGATGATTCACTATGAATGAAGAGAAATTTGTTTTTCTTATTTTTATCAAACGCCAGTCGTATAATCAATAGGAATCGATGAAACTTTTTTGGATGCGTAGTGTCAAAGTAAATGTTAAAATAAACATGGAAGACAGCATAAATAATAATAGTTTTTACATTCATTAGATAGGGGATGAAATGCCCTTTAAAATGAGCGTTTGTACGAGTCGATAGCTTTATTAGTTCCGGAGATATAGCGATTTTAGTTTCAAGTCGATGCGGTGGCTAGTTTTGGAGATACGAGGGTCCGAGGCGTTTGTTTACATTCTTACTACGGCCTTGTCAAGGTCGTTGACCGCACGTGACCGTAGTAAATAGTAAACGTGACGTCACTCAGTCACTCGTCAATGGGTCAACGTGCGACAAGGAGGTCCGACGCGCTAGACGAAGACAGAGATAGTCGAATTAGAAAAATTACCTTTTACATAAATTACGATATCTCCGAAACGGGAAGTCCGATCGACAAAAACAAAAAAGCATTTTAAAGAGGAAGGTTCACCGCTTCTAACGATACCTCAATAATTAATAAAACACTAGTAGTTTCGGAACTGCACGCATCTAAAGTTTTAGTATTTTTAATACGCGTTATTAGACTGTTCTGTGACAGTGGAAGCTGAAGATTCTCTCCTATATATTTCCTATTTACCTCCAACATGTTCCCAACCGTGGTATGACCGTCGACAAACTTTATTTTTATCTTATTCAAACATAAAACCTTAAATGTTTCGATTCATAAGAATCAAGTTTTTTTCCTTTATAGTGAATCACCATTATAGCTTACGAATACGAGTTGGATGTGACTCTACATAAAAATTAGAAACATTTTATTAAAATTTAAATTCCTGACTAATAACTACATACATTTTTTATTTATTTTCAACTTGTTCTATATTAGATCGATGAGTGAAATTCTTGGAAGGATATCAATGTTGAACAATTCATGTTGTCAACTCGTTCGAATCCATTTCTCGAGTTAAATTTGAAGGCAGCCATGATGAAAAACGAGACTTTATTTGTTCTACGAACGTTCGATTCGCGTGGGCGTGTAACAGGCTTTACGCTCGCGTAGTTCTCGCTCGATTCCGTTGCGCAACGTCGATTGTTTTCCACGTCGATTTTTTTTTTGACTTTGCTGTCCTTGAGACGCCGACGAGACTCACCCTGCACGAACCAAATGATCGAGAGAACGTCAGAAAAGTAGGCATGCGAGGCGTGTAACGCTTATCCCGCGCGATGATCGATGAAGCCACGATCTGCGAGCAAGAAGCTCGCGAACGACTTTACGGTCGCGAGTAGAGTCTCCTGTTTCACGTGCAATCGTGAAATTCTGGTTGCACACGTTCTCACGCGCGTTATTAATACACTGACACGCGTCTCTCAATATTGTTTCTTATTTCACGTGCATTAAACACAGGCAAAACCCTAAATTTAATAGATCAAATTTTCGAAACTCAGAATTGAAGTTTCTAGAGTATTCCAACGTGACCTGTTATTTTCATACGTTAATCATTTATTTTAATTCTCACAGTTTTCAAGATAATAAAATTGCAAATATTTCTTAACCTGAAATTTCTCTTTCAAATATTTGTACTTTGTATCACGGTTTATTCGGTTAAATTGATGCGTGCACTTTTCATTAAATAAGAATTCTTTCAAAAATACACATAGACTTCTCGCTAGCGTGTTTAATTTTGTATAATTCCATTTATCGCGACAGATTCGATGTCTTAAATGGTTCAAATAATAAATTGTTTCGCTGTTAACTTGTGAAAGTAATAGCGTATGTTGGAATGGGCTCAGTCTTAACTCTTCGACTGCGTTATCAGTAGTAGATAATTCCAATATTTGCCCAGACTGTAGCTCTTATTCTAAGTGAACATATAAACGAGCCGTAGCGGAAAATTTTATACGATTTAATGATCTCTGCTACCCGTGTTACGATTTTGTTTGCTCAAATGCATCAACGCACCAAAATGGAACTATCCGATTCTTTTTCATAAATCCTTAGATCTCTGCGTAAAAGGTACACGAAAAGAAGGAATTAAGAGAAATTCTTCCGGATATCGAGAAAGTACAGAACGCAATGAATATTAAAAAATTTTCCTCTACGAGCTTCTTCTTTCTCCATTTAGAAAATATTTATAGCCTGGCCCAGTTACTGGAATCACCCTGTAAACACACTAAACGCCTCATAGGCGTACGAAGCAATCGATCACGTTCGCGGTCGAAGAGTTAAATAATCGTGAAATAAGACGCTGTTTTTTTCTTTTCTTTTTATCCGCGCGTTTTTAATATGCTTCGCGTGAAACGAGGGGACGCTACCGTCTACGCGTGTTCTCTGTGATGATTTTCACGGCGACACACGCGCGTAACACGTGTATTTTAATACACGCACAAGATCGTTGGATCTAGCGAAGTCGATGACGATTTCGTTGCCTTGGCGCGGTTTTGTCAGGCAGGTTACTTGGTTCTCGCGGTTCGAACGAACAACGAACGTGAGCTTAAGCTCCCATCGAACCACGTCCAACGCGCTCGTTTTGCTTCCGCTTAAGCTCATGTTTCGATTCGATCGTCGAAGCACCAACGTTTGCGAATGAACTCGATGCAGCGGCGGCTGTCTTCCAGCGACCCATGAAAGATCTATCGATCATATACACGCCTTCGTCGTACACACAGTTTGGTATTTTGCTTTTATTTATTTTTATTTTTGTTCATTTTCAATGCCCGGGACACAATCGCAAGTTTCACACGATTCAAACACAGACGAGAACTCGCGGACTCTGGGATGACATAGAGCGAACCTGACCGAGAGTATGCGTTCGGTGAATTTCTCGTACGATACGTGACTTCTGTTCGTCGTTAAATTTTCGCGGATCGCGCGAGTGATTTTTGGATCGTAGGAAAAGCTATTTGGAACGAATACTGTATAGTTTTCCCTGTTTACGTTTCAAGTTGATCCTCTTCAGAATACGCAATTTAAAATGCAAACGTGAGGTAAGAATATTACAAATTATTCAGTTGAATAAATCATTTTTCGAGCACAGTAATAATTACTTTTAATTCTCACTAAACCATTGGAAATTGTTTTGGTGTTTATACCTTTTAAAAACGATAATTACGCAGAATAAAAATTGCACCAAAAAGGAATTGATGGGCCAAACAAAAAGAAAGGTTTTATCTAATATTCTAGAACATAAGAATCGTGTTAATAATACCAAACATTTCAGTCAATTTTATATAATTCTATGTGGTCAAACAAGTTAAATCATTTTTAATTTTCCTACCGAATTTTAAATTCCATGTATTGGCTCTGTTACAGAAAATACTAAATATAGCCAATTCACAGATGTATAATTTGTTATATTCTTACGTTATTCCAAAACGTTTCATATTTTTACCCAGAAACGTAAACAAAGAAAACCCATGGAACAATCCGTTCCTAATATTGTTTTCCATCGCCAAAGAATACTCGCGAGCTCGTCGTTCGAAGCTATCGAGTCGAAACGCGAATCTCGAGACCGCGTCGACGCTTTCGGTTCGTAGAAACAGACCTCGTCGTTGCAGGCTTGAAAGATCGCGCGGCCAAAGGGAACGCGGGCATCAAGATTTACGAGGAATAGTACAATTGCAAACGAGGCCCACGGTCGGTCGTAAATATCGTCGCGATCGTCAGTTCGGTGTCATCGGCGCGCGAAACTTGAAATTAACCGAACGCAAGCCCCCAGTCATTCTCCCTCGATCTTGTCCCCGCGTCGTAAATAATCAGCCACCGAGTGGCCGACTCGTTCGCCCGGGACTTTCGCCGCGTCGCTGCTGAGATTCGCAGGTAACGCACCTGCGTCACCCCAAGGTGGAAGGCCAGGTACCCGAGAGATAGAGAAAGCCTTCCAGGGAAAATCGAATTTCTCCGAGGGACGTATACTTTTTTTTTTTTTAACCGTACGCTGTCCCCTTTGCAGCGTGCTCCCTGCAGCGAGTCCGTCGTTAAACGAACCGGGGAATCCGTGCGCCGCTTCGGGGAGTCTCATGGCCGAAATTCTCCTACGAGGCGAGGACGGCCGTTTTAAAAAGAATTCGCGGGGAAAACTCGCGCGACATCGGAGAAATATTTGCAAACTACGTTTCGCGGCGCGTTCGCCCCGCTGCGATCGCGAAGGAAACCACTTCTCAAACGACGCCGTCGAACGTTCGTAAATTAATCTTGGAGCTTCGGAGCCGTGAATCACGACACCCGGTGGAATTCTGTCGCAGGGAAGCCCATGAATGGTTAAAAAAATAAATATTCAATGCACGTGGCTCGATTTTTCAACCCTCTCGTGCGCGGTTACTTCGGTAACTGTATGTTTAATGTTTACATTTGTTATTTTGGTATTTGGATTTATTGAATTTTGTATTCTATCATTTTATCATTTTCAAAATTTATTATTTGCCAATGTTCATTTTACGGTAAGAATTACTAGGTGCATTTTTTGTCGATGTGTGACCATGCAAAGCAATTCTCATAAAAAGAATCAAGTGTCAAGTATAATAAAGCTTGATGCTTCGTATGGAAGCCATTGTGCACGAGAGGGTTGACAGAAGTATCGTAAATGGAACGTGGAACTTCCACCAATCTTCTTTAATTCTTACAATAAGAATAATCCTTAACAGCATAAAATGAATTAAATCGTAACAAAATAATATACAAAGGTTCTATATTTTATAAATTTCCTTTTTCCGTTTTTTACAATTTGAGTTATAGATTTACCCTTCTCTGGAATTTTCCTTAATAAGTAACGTTTTTAAAAGCAATCCCGGAAAAAGTCATAGTTCGAATCAAATTAAATAAATAAGATTCCATGAAAAATTTCGGCAGACAGCCCAAGAAAACGCCTGTGAAATTTTCGATTCGCCAATTATCGCGATCGTTATCCATCGGGCGAACGCGTCCGCGAGTTGCAAACATTTCTCCAAACCGAATCGACCAAAAACACACGGGAAAGCACGGGATGACGTTAGGGGTGGGTTGGGATGGCCTCGACGGACGTTCGTGCACAGCGGAATCGGGTGGAGAAGGGGTTTTTAGACGATTAAGCCGCGAATTAATCCAGCCGTGAGAGACGCGATGTCTAACTTGGTTGATGGTTTGTGCCCTGGCCCCGCCCCAACCCCGGCGTTGCCCCCCTGGTGTTGCCCTGCCGTTGCCCTGCCGTTGCCCTGCCCGGAACGACGGACCCTGACTCGATCGGCAAATGGACCGCCCTACCAACAATCGACAACAACCACCAACCAACCACCAATGAACCAACCACCAACCACCACGGCCCGACAGTACAAAGCCTCAATCATTGTACCCGATTGCCCCGGACCCGAACGGTAATGACCAACACCACTACTTAATGTCTTATTTTTCTTTGTCTCTAATTACAAAATACCTAAAGCGGCGATGTTACGGGTCGCTGTGCTGTTTTTTAACAAAAAAAAAGAAAAAAAACACGACAGCGACGTTTTTTTTTCTCTTTCTCTACTCTTTCTCTCTCTCTCTATTCTCTCTATACCTTATTTCTCTTATATTCTTTGTATATTCTGTTTTGCTGTCTCTCTAGCTCTCTGTCTCTGTTAAACGTTCACTTTTGTACCTGTCTCTGTCTGTCTTTGCCTTGTCTTAATCGCCTGTGTCTGTACGTTCGTCTCTCACCAGCCTCTCCGTGAACCCTGTACCGTGTCCTCGACCACGTCGCCTTTACAGCGCGATCGCGCAACAATTCATCGCGAGATTTTCCTCGTCGACGGTGCGCTCGTGACTCTCACCTGTCGCGGTTCTACGCGCGTCCTTTCGCCGTTCTCCGGCCGCGGATACTTCCATTGTCCTCTCTCGCGTGTCCTGGGGTACGTATCTCCGTCCCCGGGACCCGAGCGTGCTTTCACTGTTGCTGCAAAGTGGACAGATCGCGCCTGGTCCACCGTGGCTCTTTCTTGCGCTTCTTTCTTTGTCCGTACGGGTGCCTCTTCCCGTCACGGCCCTTTCAAGAATTCCCATAGAAAGGATTGCGCCCAGATTGAGACCAGCGTCGAAGAAGAATGTCTAGTCCCCGGGGAGCGAAGTGGGGCGTCTCGATGAAGAATGATTATGACTGATGAGACTCTACTGGAGATTGCATTTGTCAGACTTCGAATACGAGGTACCTTCGACGTTGGCTGATCTCAGCGACGAGAACAAAGGCGTAGTGCATTTTGCTAAATTTATGGATCCTCGATTTTTTTCTCTCTCTTAAATTAAAATAATCGAAGAACCATATTATGTTTTCTGAAAATTGATATTAAAAGCGTGACTAGTTTCTGATAGCATCTTTACTTTGCAGTATGAATTTCGTTAGAATCGAATTTACAAATCATTTTTTATTTTCTCGGAGGCCTGTTTATTTTATGATTTATTCTATAGTTGTACAAGTATCTGAAAGTTGAGTGCCCTGGGAATTCCTAGGAAATAGGAGTAGCTCGAGCTTAAATAGAGTAAAGCAAGAATTCATTACATTCATTTTAACAAGCATAAATCGTCCAAATAACTGTTTTCTAGGATACCTCAAAAAATCTTTTCAAAATGGACTTGATATCACAAAGTCTAGATCCAGCCAAGTCTCCTATTATTTCGAACAAAGAATTCCACGATGTACAGATCAAATCAAATAAGCTTTCCAAGGAGACAGAGGATCACAAGGACTTTTCAACTCCGATTCGTTGGTAGGAGCACTTTGATCTTGCTCGCAGCTTACCCTAGGCGACTCCAGGCACTGCTTTCTGGCACTGTTCGAGCATTCCATCGAAGAAAAGTAACGTTCCTCGAAACTTCTCTCAGCTGGCAAAACTTGCCGAGGCTTCTTGTTTCCTTTCTAATTGCCGCTCGAAGGAACACTCCCCTCGGCACTTCTGAGACTTCCTGCGGTGACTACGCGAAGAAAGTGTCGATCGTAGTTCCTGTTATTTTTGCAATCCGCTGAAAACGACGCTTTTTCATCCGCGTGTGGGGAGAGTCTAGTCTTGAAACTTTCGAGAACCTATTTTTTTTCTTTACATTTCCTTATAGCTTGGATCGCGAAAGATGAGGCGTTTCTCGATCTTTTAAAAGTTGCAAATTTTTACGAAAAAATTTCTTTTTTTAATTCAACTATACTAGGATCTGAAAATTATTATTTTCGTACAGAAAGATCTATATAACGTGGAAAAATATGTCTTTCGAGGCTAGATTTCGTCCTTAAACGCATTCAGGACCAAAGTTCGTAATCGAGAAAACAACCTTTGGCATCCAGTGTCGATTATCTCTCAGTTTGAATTTTACCCGAGGATACGTGCAACTTCCATTTCCTCTTCATCCCCTCGTTTCGTCGAGGATGCAGGTTCGCAAATGTTTAGCGTACAACTCGATCCTTATCCTGTTTGCCCGACGTGTTATCCCGAACTCCTCTGTTTTCTGTCCTTCTCTCTGGAGCGATTTTCTTTTCTGTCTCTCTGTCTCTGTTTTTCGTTTCACCTCGGATCGTCGCGCGCGCGCGAACGACACGCCCGACACCACACTCACTCGCAGAAAACCACACTCGCGTTTTATGTCGGGGATATATGATTGTACACCGTTGTGTCTCTCTAATTTTGTTGTGGCTAACACGGATGCTAATCCGTGGAACGTGGCGACAGTGCCGATTCCACGCTTAACGTCGATATTATCACGCTTACTTTCTAGGTACGCCCCTGTCGTCCCGGCAGACACCTGCCGACGTAATTAACGAACTGTCCGCAAGTCGAAAGTCATTAATGGCCTGTTTTGTGCACGCGTGTTGCGGTTTCGTTTGACCCTTTCATTGCTGCAAAACGCCAGAGAATGCTGAGATCGAGTCTGCATACTCGAGATCTCTTTTAACTGTCACCAGAACCTATTCTCAGCCGATCTATCGATCGTACGAAATCATTGTGCGCACCAGTGGTCTCTCAAACCTTGTATTCCCACGAAGGTTGTTGAAGGACCACCTAAAATGAAAATAAATTACTATTTCTTTGATATATTTTTAAACCGTACTTTAAATCTTCGTGAGATGCGTGTGTTTTTCAAATCTATTCTCGAAGCGTGATTTCATCGTTCAGCTATTATGTGTAACCAGGAGGGTGACAAATACAGTTGTCGAAACTGATTTTATTCCACATTTTCGACTCATCTTTTCACGTCACCTTTCCAGACGCGCCATGATTCGAAAAATAAGCCGAGAACGTGAAAGAAAATTTGTTCGTACGGTGGTTCGTTTTCGAGAAAATCGATTTTGAATATTCATAAGGCGCGCGTGGAATAAGAGTACGACTTTGACAGTGGCGCAAGTAGAAAGAGTGAGTTATGGACAGACACCGCCAGTCGTATTGTATTCAATATCACGCGTTCCTGACAGATTTTCAAATTGAGATACTTCGAACACGAAACACTCTACAAAGTTTTGTTTCACGTGTTGCTTTTTTTTGCATATAAAATTGCATCTTGGTCGGGCGAAACTCACACAGTTTGCTGTCTTTCATTATTTTGAATAGAAATGTGGAATAAATAGAATAAATAAATAGAGAAACAAATTTCAGTTCGTATAAATTTTAAAGTTGTTTAATTCTAGTTTCTTTTTTACTGTAAAATAATATGAGGGAATTATTGTTCCTTTTTTTGAGAGCTCTTTGATCCTAATCCAACAGTTTGAGAAACACTGGCGTAGACATTGAGACTTCTATGTATCAAACTTAGAAATCAGACAGCAGTTGAAACGTGAATCTTGATGAAACTGTACGTGGACCTCTGTGCTCATATTTTGATATCTCTTTAGAGCACTAGCAGTAATATTTGTTTAGCTTCCAAGTTTGCTAGGCGAATATTCAAGGTCGAAATTTGATGGTAAATCAGTGCATCGAGTACCAAGTGCTAATTACAATAATTTCACACACAGTTCTAGCAATATTAATTAACCCTAGAAAGACTGAATCATTGTTTGGTAACCTTTAGTTTATCAATGACTTGTGATTATACGAAATAAACAAAGAAACAAAGTTGTAGTAATTTTTAATCTTTTTCAAAATTCTTTTGTGTCAAAAAGCAGTATATTCAGTATATTCATCCTTATCCTAATCTTTCTGAGGTTAACACAACAATCTATCCTAGTGTTTAACACTTTGTCTCGATCTTTGGTCCATCAATTTACAACTTCTCGAGCACGTTTCACATTGCATATCATATATGTATTTATGAACAATAGTCCTTCCAGCAATGAAAAGGTTCAATTGCACGCTACTCTCTGTTCACGTTCTTCTTTCGGGGATGATGAACGTTGCGGACACGGGATCTAATTTCCAACCCTTTCGATACTGTGCACATTTCCAAAGTACCTTCGCTGTGCTCATTGAACGCCCAAGCGCGTTTTCCGCACGCGGTGGGATGGCTCATCGAATTTGCAATATCGAAAGGGTCACGCGGGCGAAGTCCGAGGGAATTCGCGGGAACGATGGAAATATGAGACTTGTTCGATCGATCGAGGTAACTAATTGCACATACGTTCTGTTCTCGCTTTTTTTTATCACAGTAATTCGTGAAAAATCACATGTAAAAATTACTTTTCGACTGATCGTTTGTAATTATCTTCAAAGAACGTGCGTATTCTTAAGAGAGATTTTTCAAATTTATTTTTAAACTTTTTCTTCCTTCGCTTCTGTATATATTTTCTGCTATGTCTGTTAAACGAAAATGCTGATCAGACATAATAAGTAGCTAAGTACTACAAATTTTATTCTCAACAAATTTTTATCGAGTACATGTGTTATTAATTTTGATCACTATATTGCGGATTTTTTAATTTCTGGCGAATGCAAACGTTAAAAAATAATGAAATACTAATAATACGATATTGAAACAACGTGTATTTTATTTGGACATAACAACGATTTATTGAATGATCCTGAACCGGATGGGTGTTAAATAAAACAATCGAACAGGTTTCTTTCAAAAATGTACACAAAATATTGCTATATACATTTTATATTAATTAAAAGCACCGATATTGTATACCAATTTATATTTTATATATTTATATATATTTCTCTATATTACACAGGTTGTTTAATATCATTTTGATTAAAATTTTTTATTATTTTCGTGTCGATACATGTCGCGAACGCATAGAATCCGCAGTCTACCGATCGCCATTTGATTTTCACAGCACGAAGGATTTATTGCTTCATTTTCCTTTTTTTTTCACCTGAAACTCGAGCAATTAGGATATCTTTCGAGCAGCTCGGGGCTCTTATCCTTTTCGGGCGCGTGACACACGCGCGCCAGGATGCTAACAAGAAATTTATCTTCATTCTGGTACGTCACGTGCCGCGGCCGTAAATTTTTTTATCGTCGACTATAAAAGTCCTCGGGGCTGCCCTTAATGCGATTTCTATTCGCGGGCGAGAGGACGTTTCGAGAATTTAATCGAAAAAGTTTTCGCCGGAGCCCACCGATATCGCGCACGTGACTGTCCTCTTTTCGTAGAAAATCGCACGATAATTTTAAAACAGCTCGGTCTTCTAATTAGCCACAAATATACAAAGGCAATTAATAAATTAAACTTTGGAGAATTACTGCGACAGCTTTGCGTTGGATTTCATTAATTTCGAATCGAAATTCTCTCGTGTTTATAAACTGACGAGAATACTGCATTGTTTTTCGTTTTAGATAGATTCAATGACTCGATCGATTCGAACGGAATTAATTTCCATCAGTCTCTTAACGCCTTCCCGCTTCGATAAATGATCGAAAGTGTGAAAGAATAGATCCGACAATGCAATGCACACCGAAGCGTTAAATACTCATTTATTGCATTTTTTTAGGTGAACTAAACTTATTCGATACGAATTCTTTTGCTGGTCAAACAGTTCTCAAATTTTACTCTGGCCAATATAAATAAAGTATTTACGTTACTAATTGTTCATTCTCGAGCTTCGTCGGCCTAGATCGATAAAAGAGGCACGTGTCGGATATTTTTAGTGATTCTACAAATCTATCAAGTTTCGCCGGAATCGGCTGTTAACGCTTCGGTAGGTTTCCTTGTAAGATCTAATCGGATCCATCGTCTCTAACCAGCAACAGTCTACACCTGCCCATGCTCGAAGCAGACTTAAACAAACCCACGAGAAAGGAACGGTTTTTCTTATCGCCTCAGCACGCGTCCATGCTTTCTGTCAGGTCTCCGACGAGGGACAAATTAATTCAATTTTCCGTTACGACCGACGATCCACGCGTCGGAGACCTTATTATGCCTGGGTGGCCTCCGATCCTCTCCAGGTCGAACCTTCGCGCCCAAACTTTTCCAAAGAGTCATCGTCATTCTTTTTCTTTTATTTTTGTTTCGATTTTTTTTTTAATTTTCATATATAATTTTTCATTTTTTCTTTCTCGAAGTCCGTGAAAGTCCCGTAAAAAAGAAAAAAAAAAATAGGTCAGCCTCGTCCTCGAGGCGATGACTTTCGACCGTCCGTCTAGCAAACACACACACGACTATCCGTTTCGTTTCAGCTTGTGTGACTGCTAAACCTGGGCAAAATAACGAGGAGTAGTTGGTGATGGCCGCTTTTACGGTTTACTAGTCGCCGACTAACAAACTGTTCCCTCGTGGTGTACATCATTGGGCCAAGTCCGATGATAGTTAGGAGGTGAAACGCGTGATTAACCCTCGGCTGGTAGTGGCCACGATGATATTTTTCCAATAGCTGGGCTTAATCTGACGCCAACGGAACAGGCGAGACGTACAAATCGTCTAAACGGGCACGTAACTGTCCTCGTGTCAACGCTAGATTAACTCGTTACGAAACCGTACGCTGCGAAATCGATGGAAGAGATCGCCGACAGACAATAAATTCGACTTATTGTTCTTGGCTGTTGAGCTTACACGCTCGAAATGCAACGGAGCATGCTGGGTTCTGCTGGACGATCGTTGTCGTCGGTTGGACGCGACGCTTTGGAAAAATATCTTTGTTTTTCTTGTGGGGAGGGGCGCGTTTCGACGCCCGTTCTACCAGTCGAGGGTTAAAACGCGTAACCGATAATCACGCGATCGTCGAAGCTCTTCGAGAGCGATGATCATTCACGTTCGTTTCGCTGGTTCGGCGTGGAAATCGATGTCTTCTGGCGAAGACGATCGAACAGTGTGTTAAAAAGGTTTCGACGATGGAGGAGATCACGTATACGAACAGTGCTCGATTGGAACGGTGCGTGTTTTCCAGTTTTGTCGAGCGCCAGGGCGGATAATAAGTCGGACGATTTTACGTAATCGAAACTTGTAACAACAAAATTCACAACACGATATCGTAGCATCAATTCGTTGCAAATATAAACGTTTTTATCGTATTTTTAAAAGCCTCTTTTTCCAACTATATTTTAGTTTTCAATTTGCGCCGATATACTATTCGCAGTATTAAATTCCGCACGTTGAAAATTACAAACCAGGCGTCGCGTGAACGTTTCTCGAGCAATAACAGGTTACAAGATTTCCAAGTATTTCTAAATAAAAGTACTCGAGACGATATTGCGTCCAGCAAAATGTACGATGAATTTTTAATCTCGACTCGAACGTTCGACCAAACACTTCGAAACATCGTAAAGTTGATAAATCGTCGTAGAATTTATTGGCCGCCCGAGGCACGCCGACTTCGCCGAGGAAACGAGGGTCAAAAGGGGGAGGTTGGGGGGTTGGCCCTGTGATCGATACGCAGTTTTCAGTTTCCTTCGAGCACTCTCGTGATCGCAACAGAGATCACCGGCGCCGTGTCGATTGAAATTCGAAGTTGCTTCGAATAATCCCCGTACGATTCTCGCCGTCCTCTCCTTCGCGGTAAAAAAATAATTAGCAGGAAAGAAAGCCGGATAAGAAGTTGCTGATTAACGTCTGTAGCCTCTCGATTACTCCTCGGTATCCGTTCGATCGAGTGGCTTGATCTGAAAAGCTGCGGGGAAAATCCGTGCAATTCTATCCCCCTCGAATGCACCGAGCGAAATTGCATCGGAAATACGAGTCCGTTTCTTTTATTATTTTATCGACGTTTGAAAAATGAACGAAAACATTGCAACCGAGAAACGGTTGTAACTTATTTACACCGAATCCTCGACGTTTTTACAGTTCGTTGAAAAAACAATTCCATCGCGTGAAACAACAGAGATTTCGCCGACTTCTATTAGCGATCGACTAACTTTGAAATCGATTTATCGTTCGAGGGTAAAACTCAGAAGAATATAGTTCCTGGGGATTCGTAGGGTGTTTTGTGGATACGATGTAACGTAATATTGCGTCATAGAGAATTGGCAATTATTTTGTGAAAAGGGTCGTAATACTACGTCACATGTAATAATTAAGATGTTACGTAAAATAAAATTAGATTTTGAAGGGACGTAATATTATGTCATTGGTAATCAACCGGCAGTAGATTATGATGTAATCCATGTTAATGGATGTAATATTAAATCACTTGTAATTAACAGCATCTCCTGAAAAGACGTTACATCACGTAAGGGATAACAAGCTAGTAGTAATATTATGTCAATGTATCGAAACAGTGTTTATTAAACTAGAAGACTTGACAAATAACTTAACATTCTAGTGGGTAGTGATAAGAAAATTTCGTGAATAACGTTTTTCGTTAATTCAATAATGTTTAATTAAAAATAGAATTTTCCTTCTTTCTCCTTGCACGGAAAGAAAATATTCGAGTTTAATATTTATCGCTTACATGTCGCTTTGGGAAACACTGGCTTAGCAAAACGTTCTGTAATTTAGGCTCGATAAAAGAAGTTTTTAACGTTTCGATGGTCGAATTTCACGAACGTTGGATCGCTGTTGTAGCTGCTATATCGGTTACCATGGTCGTGACAGGTAAAAAGGCGAAACGAGACGTCGTTTTCCCGCAGTTTCGGCGCAGGCCATTAAAAAGAACGAGCGGAGAAAATAACGGCGGAGCAGACGGAGAGTCGCCCGCGTGTTGATTTCCACCCCACGAACTGAAAAGTTCCGTATTTACCTTCTGAACCCACCCCCCCTCGAGAAATTTCCTCGTGGGATAATATTTCATTCGAGGGGGTGGCAGGCTGCTGATGTTTGTGACCGAAAGGGGTGCAGAGAGTCGCTTAAATTTTCCAGAGAAATTAGTGCCACTTGCGATCGAGGGAATTAGGCTAAAATCAGGCATTTTTAAATGGTAAAATATCGAAAATAAAGACAACATTAAAAGTTCACTTTCTCATAATTAAATTTCATGGTCCAAATAGATATGAAATTCGTCAACAAAATTTTATAATTTGTGTATGATGGGGGGTTTTTTTTTACAAGTATAGCTCTATAGATTTATCAAGCATTAATAAATTAAGAAATTCTATTTCGAAAGACATAATAAAATATCCATAACTTTGAGAGTAGTTCTCACCCTTTAAAGATAAATATCAGCTTACAAGAAATAATATATTACATATTTTTCTGTATTCTTCTAAACGAATTAAATTCAAAACTGTTGTTCGAAAAAATATAAAATTGTTAATTTAAATAATTTTAATCGTCCCTGCGATCTCAAGTTGTGCAAATTGACGAAAAAGCTCTTTCGATCGACGTTCTTACTGGAACCAGGTTCTATTGGTGCCAAAGCAAACGCAATTTCCGTTCGCGGCTTATTTTCGACGAAGGAGAGGAAGGGCTCCATGTGGGTTAATTATGCGAGAGAAAAATGAAGGGCAACCTGTAGCACGTAATCGCGCAGCCACCGAGGACCTGAGTAATTGTTGAAGTCTTTCTGATTCTAGGGTGCTTACCATCAGCTCGGATCTGACCACCGTTCTTCAGGTGTTGAACGAGGTCGTACCTAATCTCGAGGAGGTGAGTGTTGCTACCAGAAGAGGATCACACGGGGGAAAAAGAAATGACACGATCCGCGAGACTTTTCACGCGTTTCTTACTTCGTTGCTCGAGACTGTGCCTTTTTTTATTTTTATTTTTCAATCCTTTATTTTCTTCTAACGTCGAACGTTCAAAGAGTTAGTTTCCGGGAAGACGAGTAATCGAACAGCGAAAGGTCCATTGATTTTTGCGCAACTTCGTTGACAAGTTGCGAATTGGAAACCGTTTCCCTCGTGGTCTTCCGGTTCAGAGGTACCTAAGATGTTTAGTTGGAAAGATTGATACTGAATGTTCATTTTCGACAAAATGGCTCCAAGTACCTCGCCACGAAAACACAAATTCCAAACAAGGAGAATCAAATTATCGATACTGTGCGTACAGTGTGTTTCGTGAAATAGAAAATGGGTTTTCGAGCAGTTTTCTATTTTTTTTTTACAAATCTTGTTACACTTTGTTTATTATAAATATTGCAGTCAAATCACTTGGTCAATCTTTTTTCAAAAATTTTTAACATTTTTTTTTTATTTCAGTTGATTTTTACTCGAACGGAAATCAAGATGTTCAAATAGAATCCGGTAAATGTAAATGTTCGTCCTCTCGTCCAAAACGTTTGACAAAAAGGATCAGAAAGCAATCTTTATTTCTTATCGCATCGCCCAGTCACGAACCCTTAAATTGGCCAGCGAAAAAGCCATGCAATTTTTCTCTCCGATTATTTTCGTACCTTTCGCGAAACACCCTGCTATTGGTACAAGCTCTGCGGTATTACGAACGAGGGACGCCGGAATGGCGGTGGAAATTTAAGAGGATCAGTTAGATACCCAAAACACGAGACGTTTCATGCTGAACGTTCGAAATGATTTCAGAATGGATCTCGACACGGCAGCGACGAGATCGACGTGCGTATGCTGGTGCACCAGAGCCAAGCTGGATGCATAATCGGCAAAGGAGGCCTAAAGATCAAGGAGCTCCGTGAGGTGAGTCATATTCGCAGCATACCACTAACGCTAGTCACGGGACGACATAACTCGCGCAGATTGTCACGTTCTGCACGTGCCAAGGCCTCCGGCTGTGATTACGATTCGTCCCACGAATTTAGTTCTCGAGATTTGCGCGAGTTTCTTTGCAATCCACATAACAGTTTTCCCTCAAACCGTCCAAACATCGCTTTTTGCTAGAAATTTTCATTCGACTTTAGTGTCAAAATCAGTCATTGCAATATTTTGGTATCCATCATCGACAAACTCGTGAGTTCGTTGTAATTATTGTTTTCATTAACCCCTTCTCGTGCATTAGCGAGTCTGACTCATAATGACGATTTTGGTTCAAACACAGCAAATCACGGTCGTGATTGAGTTTTAGTTCCTATCGGTACGCCGCAAGAGTTGGTCACGATTCTTCTAAGCTCCGTTACAAAGCTGTTTAGCGTCAGTTTGGTCTGTTTACCGCGCGTTGGCGCCCACACTTTCGTTTCAATATTTCTATTAATATTTATTTTGATAAGTCAGCGCGTACACAAGTTAGAAAATCGAATAGTTTGTAAATTTTCGTTGCAATCGTCACGAACGAAGCTCAGAGAAGTCTTGGCGGACATCTCTGCGTAAACGTCTGCTCACGGAACTGGATTAAAATCTAAATCACCGTCATTAAATCGTTAATTCAGCAACCGATTCTTCTCTGGTCCGCCCCAACATCGTGCAAACGCGGTTAATAAATGTAGAATTCATCATCCAGGACAATGAGAAAATTATTCCGACCTTACCGTCGATTTCCTCAGAGCTGAGCAAAGTATTTGTCAAGATACAAAGTTTCGAATGAAAATCAGAGACGTGGAAAGTCTCATTCGAGTAACAGACTAATAAAACAGTGTAGCATCGATGGAAAATTAATTAGATTAAGTGGTTCCTAGTCTATTTTTATTTTTCTTGAATCTAAACGATCTACAGGGTGTCTCGTGTGCGTTCGAAAGGATTACGAAATAGGTTGTACAGCCGGTACGAAGAGCGTCGACGAGCAAAGCAGCTGAAACTGACAATTAAGTCGTTTTTAATTAGCGATCTCTCATCGTGGCCAGATTTCGCGTAACAACGGGGCCAGGTTATACTGGAATATGCAACGTGGCCAAGTGGCTCGTTACGTTTTCGCATTCAGGAGAGGCAAAACCGAACGATGCAGACCTTTTGTCGTGGCTCGAGTCTCGCAGAATGCCACTCGACCGTCCCGCGACTTTCCTACCGCGCTTTGTCGGCCTCTCTTTCTCTCCCCCCATTTCTTCCACCCTCCATCGATCTTGACACACTCGTGTATCTTTCGGGTCAGAATCTTCGACAGAGTCTTATCCAACGATCAATTACGATTTTTCTTTTAAAGGGAATATAGTTTTCATTTTATTCCAAATATTACAATGTAAAGAAAAATATTTTTTGAATTATTCGACCCGAATTAACACAGGAACGGGGCGCGTTTCGAGTTTCTCTGTCGAGCAGAAAAATCCTCGCGTTGGAGATAATGAAAGTAGTCGGTGGAAACGATGCCACCGCAACCTCTTTCCCATCTTGGACAGTGGCCTCGGGTAGGGGTTGAAGACGCGGCACCGCCACTCGGCGATGTCGCAGAGTCGTTTTATTTCGACTTGTGGCTGGTCGGGGGTCGACTCTATCGATTCCCAGCCTACCAGAACATCCGAACACTTCTGGTTCCTCGAACAATTTCGAGACCACGTTAACGTCGACTAAAAACGCTACGTCGAAAAATATCAGTGTAAGAAGGAACAGTTTTTTTTTGTATCTCTTGACGTTTCTACAAAGATAAAGATCGAAGACCAAATTGTGTATGAAACACCATGTTCAGTGTATTCTTGTATTCTCATTTGAGTAGTGGCACTATATAGTTCTGATCATCAAGTAAAAATATTCCTGTAGAAATCTAGAAATTCTAGATTCCGATGAAAAATTGCAGGTTGCCAATCCTTGATTCAGAATATGATATCGTACGTTTATTTTTGGTAATTTGACTATTTTTCTGGACGTCACGCGATATTCCATGAGAAAATGTTGTGTCAGACGTTGAAATAGAAGCGAGAAAAGAAGCTTCGAATTTCTATTCTTAACACTCCCGAGAGCTACGTCATTCGTGTACGAAAAACGTTTCCCGTCGAGTCACTCATAACTAAACATTACATGTTAGTCAAATACAGTAGAGTTGCGATTGGAATGTCCGAATAACGGGCATATTTCCGTCGACTATTCTTTCACCACATTGCATCCAGCAGTGACGCCGGTACTAAACAGTTGACGAATAAAGCATAAGAATATTACATATTTTATCGTTCATTAATAAAATTGTATTGCTTCATCAAAGAAATTTTTCGTCGAAAAAAAAAATTTCACATCGATCTAAAAAAAATATTTTCGGTTGTAGGGGTCAATTACAATCATTTTTGGTCAATAGGTATACCCCCGAAATCCTACTCAGTTACGAGAAAAAAATTCATTACCGAAAATGTCTGACCATACATTGATATGTTTCCCTTGAAATTTTTCGGCGAAAAAAGATTTTTTCAAATCGTTCTAAAAAAATTATTTCCAGTTGCGGGGGTCGATTACAATCATTTTTGGTGAATAGACATACCCCCGAAATCCTACTCAGTTTCGAGAAAAAAATTCCTTACCGAAAATATAACGAGTGGCCGGAGATGTCTTATTTATTTCTTTATATTTTCCTTCTTAATTGATTTTAAGTAATAATACTGTGGCCTGGCGGAAGATTTCTCGTCTGGTGTTTCCTGATTAAGGTCACGGGGCGGTGGTTTCGTCAAATACACAGAATTCCGCGGCAAACAAAGGAGACTCAAAGAAGAGCGTTCGGTTGGGCGAAGAAGGATGGGCGACGTGTCAGCCCTGTTGTGAACTTAATCCGAACTTTAATGGTCCTGCAGTTCCCCGATCCATTTTCCTCGTTTTCCGGCATGTCTGTGCATTTCCCCCTTTGTGCTCGTCACTGTCGTCGATCGCGCTTTGTCCCTTTCTAGCTGTCAACAATAACCAGAGCTATTTCGACGCTCTCGAGCGCCCTTAACGCGTGCAATATTTCGAGTATTTCGGCTCGAGAGACGCGTCTCGTTTATTATGATACCTTCCGGGATATCCTCCTCGGTTGGAAGCAATAAAACTCGTCGTTTTGCCCAGTGTCTCGTGCTCTCGATTTCTTGATACGGAATACGACAGGAATTGCTTGTTTCCCCCCCGCGTGGGAGTATCGTTCCTCGAGGAGGACACGGATTATCCTAATTTCTTGCACTCCCTCGTCCCACAAATATCCACTAAATTTTATTTTTCATACGCGTTGAAAACAAACGCAAAATTGAATAACGAAATAAGGGAGTGCAGGAAGATTGAAACATGGTGATTGGATCATTTTTAGCATCTAAGGGTAAATTGAAGAGTAAATTACATGAACAGATAGGAATCTTTGAGGCTTTGCAATCAGGGCAGTAAAGAATCCATTTCTGCTATGTGTTTAACCATCCAGAACATTGAAACAGAGGGGTAATACGATCAAATTTAGGAGAACGTAGTTTTAATTTACAATTTGTGCTTTGTCTTCAAACCTCTTTGCTCAGAGTTTTGTCAGATTTCCAACTTTTAAATAGTTTCTGAAACCGATTTATGCCATTTCTAAACACCGTGTAGATCGATCGACGCGCGATCGAGATCAATCAGAAGCTGTCGAAAGACACCGCGGCCTAGAAAACGATCTTCATCCGCGGAAAATGTGATTGGTTTTCCATGGAAGAGAGCAATACCTGGGAAACACGCGTAAACGCGATATTCGAGGTCGATTCGTTACGTGAATTGAGAATGTAATGATTATTAATAGATAATGTGAGAGGTGGATACTGCAACATAACAGAATTTACACGAGAAATTGCATAGAAATGACGTAATTTTGGAAACCGTTCAACTTCGACTCGCGAGAGCGTTCATTCTTTTATGTAAACGACGCAAATGAATTTCTGCAAATTAATTGTAACGATGTTTCCGTCGAGACGCATTCCCATATTCGTTCTGAGGATTCTCTAGCTTCGAGCCTCGCTCGTACGAATTACAAAATCACGGTCGGGCTTCGATGTATCATCGTCGATTCTTTGCACCTGCGTTACCGGAGCAGAAATGATAAGACTTAAAAAACCGGTCTGACTCGATTCAGAACTCTCACTGACACGACTTAATGAATATCCCGTCGTCTGGTGCAATTAATATCCTCTGATAATTATTCACGTTCAACGCGCGATAAATCGACCCACACCTACGTCGAAGATATGCAACATTATTCAAATATTACGATCGATGAATAAAAATTCATTTGATTTAAATTGTTCTTGGTAAATGGTTTCATACTTAATTTGCATAACGTCATTAAACATTTTACAAATATTATGATTTATTGCAAACGATTTGTAAATAGAGGAAGTGTATTAAACAGGGTATCTTAAAAATCAAGCTATAATTTTCGTAGAAATCAATGTCAAACGAATAATAGAAAATATAGGACTTCGAGTGGCACAATTTTCATAGTTTCCCCCCACTATATGGCGTCTTTTCTCGTATAATTGCGAATCAACAAACCAGAGGAATACACGTAGGGAGAACAGGTGCTTTGGACGTTCCTTTCTCTTATTGTTTACGCTTGATGAGCTTAGCTACTGTTGTAACGCGACCGAATCAACGTTAAGTAAGCTCTATTGTTTGGAATTTTCAGTTCTAATTACATTTAATATAAATATCACTAATTTCATAATATTTTAATGTGGACAAGGTGTAATTTTAAGGTTTAATTTACATTCTCGTGTTTCCCCCGGTGTGCCCTGGCACTCTTTTGTTTCTCGCGTCGCCAACGGTTCGAATCGCGGCGCCCTGGCCAATGTAAAAGGCAAGCGGCACTCATCAATGGCCTCAGGTATCGCGACGCGACAGCC